GAGGAGGCTATGGAACTTGGGGAGGAGGGTGGTTGGCTACACAGGGGCTGCAGTGGCGGTCTGTGCCTTTCCTGCACCTCAACCATATACCAGAGCATATCAGTTTGATCCTCCAGTAGCCTCAGCATTGCATCCTGCCTCCTCTCATCATGCTGCTGCCACCTTTCCTCTTGATCTCGCCACCTCTCCTGTTGCTCCCGCCACCTGTCCTCTTGCACATCCCTCCTGTCCACTTTGTGCTTTTCTGGACTCTGCCATTGTCTGCCTCCACGCATTCTGCTGGGCTCTTTCAGTTTGGGTGGACTGCATGAGCTCAGAGAACATTTCATTGCGAGTGCGTTTTTTTCACCTTCTTATTTGCGCTAGCCTCTGGGATGGAGATGCTAGTGGCAGCATTGAAACATTTGCAGCTGCAGGAGGAAAAAAAGGGAGAGTAAAATTGAAAAAGACATATTGGCCATTTAAAAGAAGGGGCTGATGTTTTCGGGTTAACATGCAGCACAAACCCAACTAACTCCTCGACACACCCAATTCTCTGGGATGATCGCTTCACTCCTCCCCCCACCATGTGGCTAACAGCGGAGATGATTTCTTTTTGGCCACAGACAAACAGCCCAGCAGGAATGGCCACCTTTGAATGTCCCCTTAATAAAATTCATAGCATCATAGAATCATAGAATATCAGGGTTGGAAGGGATCTCAGGAGGTCATCTAGTCCAACCCCCTGCTCAAAGCAGGGCCAATCCCCAACAAAATCATCCCAGACAGGGCTTTGTCAAGCCTGACCTTAAAAACTTCTAAGGAAGGAGATTCCACCAGCTCCCTAGGTAACGCATTCCAGTGTTTCACCACCCTCCTAGTGAAAAAGTTTTTCCTAATATCCAACCTAAACCTCCCCCACTGCAACTTGAGACCATTATTCCTCATTCTGTCATCTGCTACCGCTGAGAACAGTCTAGATCCATCCTCTTTGGAAGCCCCTTTCAGGTAGTTGAAAGCCGCTATCAAATCCCCCTTCATTCTTCTCTTCCGCAGACTAAACAATCCCAGTTCCCTCAGCCTCTCCTCATAAGTCATGTGTTCCAGTCCCCTAATCATTTTTGTTGCCCTCTGCTGGACGTCTTCCAATTATTCCACATCCTTCTTGTGGCGTGGGGCCCAAAACTGGACACAGTACTCCAGATGAGGCCTCACCAATGTTGAATAGAGGGGAACGATCACGTCCCTCGATCTGCTGGCAATGCCCCTACTTATACACCCCAAAATGCCATTGGCCTTCTTGGCAACAAGGGCACACTGTTGACTCATATCCAGCTTCTCATCCACTGTAACCCCTAGGTCCTTTTCTGCAGAACTGCTGCCGAGCCATTCGGTCCCTAGTCTGTAGCGGTGCATGGGATTCTTTTGTCCTAAGTGTAGGACTTTGCACTTGTCCTTGTTGAACCTCCTCAGATTTCTTTTGGCCCAATCCTCTAATTTATCTAGGGCCCTCTGTGTCCTATCCCTACCCTCCAGCGTATCTACCTCTCCTCCCAGTTTAGTGTCATCTGCAAACTTGCTGAGGGTGCAATCCACGCCATCCTCTAGATCATTAATGAAGATATTGAACAAAACCGGCCCGAGGACCGAACCTTGGGGCACTCCACTTGATACTGGCTGCCAACTCTACATGGAGCCATTGATCACTACTCATTGAGCCCGACAATCTAGCCAGCTTTCTGTCCACCTTATAGTCCATTCATCCAGCCCATACTTCTTTAACTTCCTGGCAAGAATACTGTGGAAGACTGTGTCAAAAGCTTTGCTAAAGTCGAGGAACAACATGTCCATTGCTTTCCCCTCATCCAGAGCCAGTTATCTCGTCATAGAAGGCAATTAGATTAGTCAGGCATGACTTGCCCTTGGTGAATCCATGCTGACTGCTCCTGATCACTTTCCTCTCCTCTAAGTGCTTCAGAATTGATTCCTTGAGGACCTGCTCCATGATTTTTCCAGGGACTGAGGTGAGGCTGACTGGCCTGTAGTTCCCAGGATCCTCCTTCTTCCCTTTTTTAAAGATTGGCACTACATTAGCCTTTTTCCAGTCATCCGGAACCTCCCCCGATCGCCATGAGTTTTCAAAGACAACGGCCAATGGCTCTGCAGTCACATCCACCAACTCCTTTAGTACTCTCGGATTCAGTACATCTGGCCCCATGGACTTGTGCTTGTCCAGCTTTGCTAAATAGTCCCAAACCACTTCTTTCTCCACAGAGGGCTGATCCCCTCCTCCCCATGCTGTGCTGCCCAGTGCAGTAGTCTGGGAGCTGACCTTGTTCATGAAGACAGAGGCAAAAAAAGCATTGAGTACATTAGCTTTTTCCACATCCTCTGTCACTAGGTTGCCTCCCTCATTCAGTAAGGGGCCCACACTTTCCTTGACTTTCTTCTTGTTACTAACATACCTGAAGAAACCCTTCTTGTTACTCTTAACATCTCTTGCTAGCTGCAACTCCAGGTGTGATTTGGCCTTCCTGATTTCACTCCTGCATGCCCGAGCAATATTTTTATACTCTTCCCTGGCCATTTGTCCAATCCTCCACTTCTTGTAAGCTTCTTTTTTGTGTTTAAGATCAGCAAGGATTTCACTGTTAAGCCAAGCTGGTCGCCTGCCATATTTACTATTCTTTCTACACATCGGGTTGGTTTGTCCCTGTAACCTCAATAAGGATTCTTTAAAATACAGCCAGCTCTCCTGGACTCCTTTCCCCCTCATGTTATTCTCCCAGGGCGTTCCCTGAGGGAGTCAAAGTCTGTTTTTCTGAAGTCCAGGGTCCGTATTCTACTGCTCTCCTTTCTTCCTTGTATCAGGATCCTGAACTCGACCATCTCATAGTCACTGCCTCCCAGGTTCCCCTCCACTTTTGCTTCCCCTACTAATTCTTCCCGGTTTGTGAGCAGCAGGTCATGAAAAGCTCTGCCCCTAGTGGTTCCTCCAGCACTTGCACCAGGAATTGTCCCCTACACTTTCCAAAAACTTCCTGGATTGTCTGTGCACTGCTGTATTGCTCTCCCAGCAGATATCAGGGTGATTGAAGTCTCCCATGAGAACCAGGGCCTGCGATCTAGTAACTTCCGTTAGTTGCCGGAAGAAAGTCTCGTCCACCTCATCCCCCTGGTCCGGTGTTCTATAGCAGACTCCCACCACGCCATCACCCTTGTTGCTCACACTTCTAAACTTAATCCAAAGACTCTCAGGTTTTTCTGCAGTTTCATACCAGAGCTCTGAGCAGTCATACTGCTCTCTTACATACAATGCAACTCCCCCACCTTTTCTGCCCTGCCTGTCCTTCCTGAACAGTTTATATCCATCCAGGACAGTACTCCAGTTATCCCACCAAGTCTCTGTGGGATAATTCCCCTATTTCAACCAGGTGACCATGAATGATTTCACTCTGAGGGTAACACAGAGAGAGATAAAGAATGGATGTTGCTTGAATGCCAGCAAACACAGGGACCACATGCTGCCATGCTTTCTTATGCAATGATTCCAGACTACGTGCTACTGGCCTGCCGTGGTAAAGTATCCTACCATGGAGGATGCAATAAGGCTGCCCTCCCCAGAAACCTTTTGCAAAGGCTTTGGGAGTACCTCCAGGACAGTTTCATTGAGATGTCCCTGGAGGATTTCCGCTCCATCCCCAGACATGTTAACAGACTTTTTCAGTAGCTGTACTGGCTGCGAATGCATCCCAAGTCTTCAGGGCAAATTAATCATTAAACGCGCTTGCTTTTAAACCGTGTAGTTATATTTAAAAAGGTACACTCACCAGAGGTGCCTTCTCCGCCTTCAAGGTCCAGGAGCTCAGGTTGGGAGGGTGCTGTCTCCAGGGTGATAAACAGTTCCTGGCTGTTGGGGAGAACAGTTTCTCCGCTTGCCTGGTGTGCTCTATCATCTTCCTCATCCACAAAATCCTCATCCCTGTTGCGTGAGACTCCCTTGTAGGAGTCCACGTACAGGTGAGGGGTAGTTGTAGGGGCACCCCCTAGAATTGCATGCAGCTCATCATAGAAGCGGCATGTCTGAGGCTCTGACCCCGAGCGGATGTTCGCCTCTTGGGTTTTTTGGTAGGCTTGCCTGAGCTCCTTAAATTTCACATGGCACTGCTGCGGGTCCCTGTGATAGCCTCTGTCCTTCATGCCCTTGGAGATTTTTTCAAATATTTTGGCATTTTATCTTTTGGAACGGAGTTCTGATGGCACGGATTCGTCTCCCCATACAGCAATCAGATCCAGTACCTCCCATTTGGTTCATGCTGGAGCTCTTTTGCGATTCTGGGACTCCATGGTCACCTCTGCTGATGAGCTCTGCATGGTCGCACCGCGGTGGCCAAACAGGAAATGAAATTCAAAAGTTCATGGGGCTTTTCCTGTCTACCTGGCCAGTGCATCCGAGTTGAGAGTGCTGTCCAGAGCAGTCAGAATGGAGCACTGTAGGATAGCTCCCGGAGGCTAATTCCGTCGAATTGCGTCCACACTACCCCAAATTCGACCTGGAGATGTTGATTTCAGCGCTAATCCCCTCGTCGGAAAGGAGTACAGAAATCGATTTTAAGAGCCCATTAAGTCGACAAAAATGGCTTCGGCGTGTGGACGGGTGCAGGGTTAAATCGATCTAACACTGCTAAATTCGACCTAAACTCGCAGTGTAGACCAGGGCTGAGTCCTGGCTTGTTTATAGCCATACAATCTAGGACACTTTAGTGCGCCATGATACTGTACAGGACATCATAACCCCACCCCTGGCATGGCTCTGGGAGTGAGTGGTACTGTAGGCCATAGCAGCACACACTGGGAGGCACCTAGAGAACCAAGCCTCCCAGCTGGTGATGTTATGGTACCGCAAGGGGCACACTCTGTGGAACACCATAATCATCAGTCTGGGCCTGTGTGAGAAAACCAAGGGACACTTTGTATGGGACATGGTAACTGCAAGTCCGAGAGTTCAGTAACCACCGTACACCCCCAGAATGTGTTATAGTTCTGGGGGCCATGTTGACTAGGATATGGTAACTACACGCCCTGTCTCCCCTGTTTGCACATCACTATCTGCTGCTGGATTGTGGTTCCTTAATGTTATAAAAATAGGCTATTTATTCAGTTTGGCATCTACATCAATTCTTTCGTATTTCTCTCTTCCCCTCCCAATTCTGCCTCCCCCCAGCCAAGCTAATGTCTTCCAGATGAGGTGCTAGGAGCTGCTAATTGCACCCGGATCCATCATGATTTGTGCTTCAGTCAACAAGGCACCTCACTAATGGATCAGAGACTTGGCAGTGGGCCTGGGACCAGCGTCAAAGGAAACAGATGAGAGAAAGAAAGAGCAGAGGGTTAGAGAGAGAAAGAGCGCAGAGAGACCAAGAATGGGAAACTATCCCTCTTCTGAGCAGCCAGTGCCTGAATCCTGATAAGGCTTGTGGTACTCCCCAGTGAAATTGCATGTGTGGGATTTCAGACAGCACAGCCTCATTCCTTTCCCTGAGCAGAAACCTGACACCTGCCCTGGCTGGCCCTTCACTTTCTTTCCAATCACTTGGCAGGGAGCACACAGCTCTGAGGGAGGCTCATGTTCTAAGGCTGACAGCAATGCAGAGCGACAACACACCTGGGTTTTATGAGCTTTCCTCCCATGCAGGGCCTCTGCTGGCTTGAGCTACTGGAGCCAGTTTTCCTGGAGCAGAGCTTGAAGAGGCCTGGCTGAGGAAAGCTGGGAACCCCAGTCCAAGCCGTTTCTTCCCAATCAATCAGATGCATTCATCATGCTTTAGGAACACCCTGTGGGAGAAGAGGAACCAGACAGGCCAATGGGAAATCTGAATCCTGGTGGTGGTGAGGGGAGGGAGAGACGAAGGGTAGAGAAAATAAGAGGGATGGGGAAATAGGGTTGCCAGGTGTCTGTTTTTGACTGGAACACCCGGTCGACAAGGGACTGTAGCAACTCCACTCAGCACCACTGATGGGCCATTCAAAGTCTAGGTGGCACGGGGCTGACAGGCTCCTGGAAGTGGTGACACATCCCCCGGCAACTAGGTGTAGGTGCAGCCAGCAGGCACCGTTCCCACAGTTCCCATTGGCCAGGAACCACGGCCAGGGGGAGCTGCGGGGGAAGACACCTGCGTGTGGAGGCAGAGCGCACCGCATAGAGCCGCCTGGCTACCCCTGTGCATAGGAGCCAAGGGACATGTTGCCACTTCTGGGGAGCACCCCCCAGAGGTAAGCACTGCCCAGAGCCCACACCTTGAACCGCTCCCACACCCCAACCTCCTGCCCCAGCCCAGAGCCCTCTCCCGCACCCTGACCCCCCCACATTTCTGGCCCCACTCTGGAACCCACACCCCTAGCCTAGAACCCGTACACCCTCCCACACCCCAATCTCCTGCCTCAGCCTGGACCCCCTCCCTCACTCCAAACCCCTCAGCTCCAACCCCCAGCCCAGAGCCCCCTCCTGCCCTGCATACCCCTCATCCCCAGCTGCACCCCAGAGCCTGCTCCCCAGCCCCCAGGCCAGAGCCCCCTCCTGCACTCCAAACCCCTCATTTCTGGCCCCCAACCCACAGCCCACCCCCCCAGCCCAGAGTCCCCTCCTGTACCCCAATTCCCTGCCCCATCCCAGTGAAAATGAGTGAGTGAGGGTGGGGGAGAGCGAGCAACAGAGAGAGGAGGGATGGAGTGAGCAAGGGTGGGGCCTTGAAGAAGAGGCGGGGTTAGGGTGTTCAGTTTTGTGCGATTAGAATGTTGGCAACCCTATGGGGAAGTGGGGACATAGGTGCCAACTCTGTGGGTGCTCCGGTGCTGGAGCACCCATTGGGAAAAATTGGTGGGGTGCTCTGCACCATCGGCAGCTCCCCATCCTGCCCCCACCGCCCCAGCTCACCTCCGCTCCTCCTCCTCCCCTGAGCGCGCCGGGCTCTGCTCAGGGAAGAGGCGGGGCTGGGGCGGGGATTTGGGGAAGGGGTCCAATAGGGGCAGGGAGGGGGCAGAGTTGGGGCACGGACTTTGCGGAAAGGGTTGTAATGGGTGCGGGGCAGGGGCAGGAAAGGGTTGTAATGGGTGCGGGGCCAGTGGGGGCGGGCGCGAGCACCTACCGGCGCCGGGGAAAGTTGGTGCCTATGAGTGGGGGGAACGGTGCGGAGGGAAAGAGAACAGGAAGGAGGGAGTGAAGAGGGAGGGAGATGCAGGAAGGAGAAGGAAGAGAAAGAGCGTCTGAGAAGTGAGAAACAGAACGTGAGGTACTGGAATGAGGTGAGGAGGCCCGAAGGCACAAAGGGGAAAAAGGGGAGTAGGACAAGGAGGGAAACACAAGAATGAGCAGTGGTAGGAAGGAGCCTGATAGAGTAGTTAGGGGACAGCCATTTGGGTCCTATCCTAGCTGACTCACACACCTTTCGCTATTTGGAGAGGTTCTGTTACTGGTTTGACTGGGCTTTAGTTTTCCCTGTCTCTGAACTGTCTGGTTTCATCTGCAAAGAGCACCACCAAGATGGCATGAGGGAGACCACTCACACAACTCTACCCACAAGGCCAGAGCCAGGAGGGCTGAGAATCCTCCAGGGACTTCCAAGGAGAAGTCCAAACCTGTGGGGGCTTCTCCCAATGTTATAGAAGTTTGCCAGTCAACATGGCTGGAGGGTATAATAGGCCAGGATACCACATATCTCCCTTTGGAGGCGTGCCGCTGGCCTGCCATCTTTGGAGTGCTGCCATGCTGCGCCCCGAGGCTCCGCTCCCGCATCCCAGTCTTGCCTGGCGGTCCTGCCCATGCTGCTCCTCTTCCCATCCCTGCTCTACTGCTTCTCCCATGGCGCCCCCCCCCCCAGCCATCTCTTGTGCTTCTCTGGTGCTTCCCCGCTAGGGTGATGAGGTGTCCAGTTTTGGACCAGAGCACCCAGTCTAAAAGGGATCCTGGTGCAGCTCTGGTCAGCACCGCTGACCGGGCACAGCACCACAATGGGGCTGGCAGGCTCCCTGCTAGCCACCATGCTGCAGACCGTGCGACTCCCAGGTTGGGTAGCAGCTGGCGTGTCTGGCTCCTAGCCTTAGGGGTTACTGGGGGGCAGGGGGTCCACATGCTGCCCCGCCCCCCCAGCACAGCTCCCATTGGCTGGGTCAGGGCAGGGGAGGAACTAGTGCCACTTGAGTGCTCAGCAGGAGGCTGCTGAGGGGTTGCGTGGTGCGCGCTTCTCCTGCCGTTGCCCGGCCCTCTTCTCCTCATGTGGCTGGGCTCGAGCTGCGGTGCGTGCCCTGCGGCGAACCACGGTCTGTTGCGAACCGCGGTCTGTGTATCCCCGTATCTGAGTGCTGGGAATGGGGCTGCATCCCCATCACTGCATCCCTCCATCCCTCCCCATCCCAACCCCCTCACACCACAGCCCCGTCATTGCATCCCTCCCCTGTCCCATCCCAGCCTGCCCCTCACACCTACCCATCCCAGCCCTGTACCTTACAGTGCTCTCCTACCCATCCTCTCTACTGCCTGGAGTCGCCACCCCCATGTCCCTCACCCCCCAAGCCCCTGCACCCCATTCACCTCCATACACTGCTGCACTCCCATTATATCCCTATATAACCCTGTTCCCCCCACATCCTCATGCACCTGTAGCCTTCTGCCTCCCCCTGCATCCCCATCCATCCCACATACCTCCTCTCTCCTTCACTGCCCCCTCTCACCCCAAGCCTGCTCTCAGCCTTGGCCTCTTTCCCTCCCCATCCTCTCTCCTCCACCTCCCCCCACTCCAAAATCTTTTTCCCTCCAACCCATCCTCCTCTCTTCCTGGCTGGGTGATTTAGGCAGCCCCTGGAAAAGTGTGTGAAAAAGTGTCTCTGTGTAGGCAAGTGTGTGCATGTATGTGTGTAAGAGACACTGTGTGTCTTTGTGTAGGAAGATGCGTATATTGCTGCATATGTGTATACCTTTGTGAATAAAATTAGTAGCCTAACTCTTTGACTTTTATTCCTTTTGCTGGCTTGCACACACAAAAAATTGATGACATAAAATGTGTGTATTCATTTCATAACAGTTTTTTAAAAGAGAAGGGAACTCCAAAAGATATGTATTGTTTCTTAAAAAGTGAATGTTGACTAGTAATTGCAGAAGAGCCAATATATCATATATTTCTCCCAACCTCGGTCTAGCTACATTATAAACTCTTTGTTGCAGACTCTTTTTGTGTGTATATCCAGCACCTACGGCCCTGGAGCCCTGATCTTAGTTAGAGTCTCTAAGCACTAAACAACAATTGTAATAATAAATATATTTCCACATTATGTGCGATTGCATGCTAGATGTGTACACATGAATACACGCGTGTATCTGCATGTAGGTTTGGGAGTGTGTCCATTTCTGTGGTTGTGCTCTATGGATTTGTATTTGGGCGTCGGGAGTGAGCCTTCAATGAACCCATTGCAGCTGTGATAATGTCTGGTCCTAATTCCACATGTAAAATTACAATAACATAGTGAACAAAAAACATGGAGCTGGTTACAAAAAATGGAAAGATTGGAGGGAAAGAATCATGAAAATCTTTGTGAAATTTCTTTTTTTAAAAATTACCCTTTTTGACTGTTTTGCTGCCAGCTGTAGCGTCCTGTAACAAATAAAACCTGAACTTAGCATAATATATCTGTCAAAACAATAAATATGACTGTTTGGGCCTTGCAGTGAAAATGAGCACGTGAGCGATGGTGGGGGGAAGCAAGCGATTGGGGGGGGGGGGGAGGAAATGGAGTGAAGGGGGTGGGGCTTCAGAGAAGGGGCGGGGCAGCAGACAGGGCAAGGGTGTTTGGTTTTCTGGAATTAGAAAGTTGGTAACCCTACTCCCCCCGCCCCCACCCCCCGCTGCTTCTCACACTTCTCCACCCACTCAGAGGCAGAAATGTGTGCACAGGGGGCACCTCAGAAGAGGGGGCTGAACAAGGCCAGGCCTTGCGGGGAGCAGGGGGTGGGGCCACAGTCCAGGTGCCAGTGCCCCCTTCCTACCACTTCTAGGGAGCTTCTGGCACTAAGGCCCAGCCTCCCCAAATGCAGGAGTCGCGCACTGCCTGTGCCAATCAGCACCTGAGACACAGGCCAGTTATCAGGCAGCTGGATGACAACTGCAAGGACACCAGAGGTTGGGAGCTTCCCACACAGAGAAAGATGCATTTCAGGCCAGGAACAAGAATGAGGTCTTAGGTGAAAGGGGTAAGATGTCCAATCTACTAGTGCCTCCCTGTTGACTCTGTTCCATAGCCTCTATAAGGCTGTCACTGGTAGGGTGGCCTGACAGCAACTGTGAAAAATCAGGACACTGGGGGTAGGGAGGGGAAATAGGAGCCTATATAAGAAAAAGACCCAAAAATCGGGACTGTCCCTATAAAATCGGGACATCTGGTCACCCTAGTCCCTGGAGCTTCCCCCCCTCAGTAACTGTTACAAGTGATCAGCAACAACAGCCTGCATCCTTGTACAGGAGACCAAAGACCTCTAGCACCACATTCCATAAATCTTCCGCTTCAGCATCCAAACCCTGGGGTTGGGGGAAAATTTGTACCAATCCCTCTGATATTAGTCCAAATGTTACATGACTATCTTCCCCTCTAGTGGCCAGAGTCCCTGTGGAGATATAAGGTCTAAAAGTGGTGGCAATGCTCCCCACCAGTGAAATATGCCTAGTGTTCAAGTATAAACAAGAATAAGCACATATTGAGTGCTTTTCATCTGTAGATCTCACAGCACTTTACAAGAGACAGGCCAGTATTATAATCTCCATTAAGAAATGGAGGCACAGACTAGTGAA